AATAAATGGTGCTGGGAAAATTGGAAAGCCACATGCAAAAAATGAAACTAGATTGCTATTTGTCACTATACACAAAAAATTAACTCAAAATGGATCAAAGACCTAAATACAAGACCTGAAACAAACAAACAAACAAAATAGAAGAAAATATATGTACTAATCTTATGGCCCTTGATCTTAGAGAGGATTTCATGAATTTGACCCCAAAGGCAAGGAACGTTAAGTGCTTAGTCCAGTTTCAGCAAGAATCCTGCTAAGTCAGTTTAGAGAGAAAACACTACCTTTGATGATTTGATTACCCTTGATATCTGATCAAGTTCCTCATGCTTCTCATTTGATGTATAAGTTCTTTACCTGTCCTCAGCAAGAATCCTGTTAAGTGGGTTGAACAAGAATTCCTCGATACTTTACGTCTCCTCTTAGTAATTTTTCCATCCACTCCCCCCTTACTCTACTCCTTGGCTGTCCTTACCTTATTCAGAGTTAAGACCAATCTATTTCCCCTACTACCAGTCTTGACACCTGTTGCAGTAGTCCCATATAAAGTCTTCCTTACCATTTTAGTAAGTATTAGGGTAAGCATTTACTTTAACAGAGGCGAGGGGTGGGAAGGGTCCGGCACTGTTCATTTGTTTCCTTCAAACACTAGAAGCACTCAAATAATCCACCTTGCTTTTCTTTCATGTTCACCTAATAACCTCTGATGGATTCTAGCTTCCAACATTGTTTATAGGTTAAAGAGAATATCACTATTTTATGGTTCTCACTGTTCATTAATACGTAGGCATTGATGCTGGTTTATGTGCTTCGGTGATTAAGTTAATCTTGGAGCAGTATCCTCAAGATGAAGCACACAGACAAAAATCAAGTTTCTGGGGTCACAGAAAAGAGAACCAGAAGGTGAGATCTGGCCACAGTGAACAATAGCAGTTAAGAATTCCTACTGGATCTTAGAAGGCACAGCTAAGTAATGAACATCAGCAACCAAAGGTTTTAAAAAATGCCTAGGGAGTTTGGGATGAGGAAGTAATTGGGATAATACAAATTATTTTGGTTGTTGCATTCAAAATTTAATCTTTCTTCTCTCCCACTGCCTCAATCATGTCTGTGTTTCTACTCTATCTCTCAGATGTACCACAGCTTTATCCTGACCGGGGATCTTTAGTAAAATGCAGATTCTCGTTCATAGGTCCTGGCAGGGATGGGGGCAGCAGTCTGCATTTCTAGAAAGCTCCCAGGTATTGCAGATGCTGCTGGTACAGGGATCCCCTCTTGAGCACAAGAGGAGCGGTACATCATCTCGTTTTGGAGTATTGCCACAAACTCCTAATAGGCCTCCCTGTCACTCTTCCAGGCCATTCCCCACCCTGCAGCCAGTGTGGTCTTTTGCAAATCTGAACAAGTTTCTCCACTTTCCCTGCTCTCTCTGCCCTCAGATCCTGCTCCTGCCTCCCATTCTGCCTCCAGGCTCCCACTGCTATCTCAAGCTCACTGCTCCTGCTGGTGAACTAGGCTCAGTTCCTACAAGCACCCTGTGATTTCTTCCTCTGAGCTTTCCCACAAGTTCTTGTTATCTGACAAACATTGTTTTGCTTCTGATTCCCATCTTCACCCCTCCCACTCCTTCTCAGGCTCTGGAAATCCAGTTCTCTACCCTTCCTCTGTGATTCCATATACCCCAAAGTTCTATCATTGTAACTTATCAACCTATATTTCTTTTCTCAAATTTCTATCATTAGATCATGAATGAAGGAGAGAGAGGGGTACCTGTATGTGTTTTTAATGTATCTACATCACATTGTTTCACATACAGAAAATGTTTAAAATATATTTATGAGTTGAACTGGAAAAGGGAAAGTCTTCAGGAAGTAGACACCTATAAGAGATTCACATTTATATCTCATTTGGTCTTCTTCACAGAGTCACAATTAGTGTTACTAAAGGTTAAAGATAAAATTGATTAGGTTGTCAAGTTGAACCACAATCTAAAGCTTTCTAACTGCTGTAGAATAATACTAGGCTTGCAATTCCATTTAAATTCTATCTTACCTAAGCAAAACAGAATACATATTTTATATATAAAACAAGGCAGTCTGACCAGCTGTTTTCTGTTTTTACAAGAGAGCTAGCAAATATAAGCATAAATTGCAGTAAGATATGCAAAATAAGGAAAGTATGGATGATAAATGAGTGGAGTTAACATGTGAAATAGACTTGTGAGACACCCTTCCAGAGAGATGTTCCACATGGTAAGCTGTTCTTGAATCTTAGTATGTGAGATATTGTGGATGGATCCTGACAATTCTAATTTTTCTTAATGAAAAAGTTTACTTTATGTTACGAAATCTCATAATGCCTTATAACAGAAACAATCAAAAGGAAATCTTCTCAAAAATAAAACGAGGTACACATGCTCAACATAAAAATCTATGTGGTTGAAGTACAGTATATCAATTCAATCTGACTGATTTGTTTTATTATATACAAAAATATCATTGATAATCTGTTATTTTTCATCTTTTTTTTTTTTTGTACTATGCTTTTAACTAGAGATTTTATCTTACTTTTCAAGAAAGAAATGGCATAATAAAAACTCTAGGATCCAGCTGGCCTTTTTGTTTTCTCATTGTTACCAGATCCTAAATCTCTCCCCTCTTCTTGCTCAGAATGCTGGTGTAGATTACATCATTCCTATTAAGGTATTACTTGAGATGGAAAAGGTCAACCACCTGCCTTACCTTGGGAATGTCTCACTAGTAATCAATGCTCCATTATCTTTCTTCACCAATAGCTCCCAGTGTCACACCTGTCTGAGGCCAGCAGCAGCTGTCCAAACTCTCACCTTCTCAGAAACAATAAAGAGAATGGAGAAACAGGGAGAGCTAGAGTTAGGAAATGATTCAATATATCAACATATCGTTATGTTTTGCATGCAAGAATACTCAATATTTTCATGGGTGTGAATCTACTTTCTATACAAATATGATAAACCTACTATTTATTGAGTACTCCAAAAAAACTGAGGCCCACAGAGAATCAATCCCTGTAAGTGGCTGCTCCAGGAATCAGACTTTGATAAGCCTCATTCGTTCCTCTATGCTCTGCTGCTTTTTGGAAAGCAACCTCCCAAAGACAATCTAGTTTGAGATTTCAATAGCATTTTTAGTTTGTGAAAAAAATAAAGACGGGGGAACAAAAAGGAATGCATTATGAAAGGAATCTATTCGATATCCAAAGAGCACATGACAGGACAATATTGGACCTGGGAAGAACTGTTGTTTCTCCCAGCCTCCAATACTTCCTCCTCTCAGCATTTACAAGTGTAAACTTGGCTGTGTGTTAGCCAGGAAAATTGCAGGGCACCAGGAGATGGTGCGGTTAAGTAGCAAGCAGAGAAAGCTCTGGAAGGCTGCAAGTGTACTGGAGGCATCAGAAAGTCTTTAAAATATATATTTAATCTCTCCTTGTTCATTTCCACTGCCACTTCCTCATTCAATAACCTTGTAATCTCCACTATTTTAACCTGCCATCCCCTAAACCCTTCTCCACAGGCTTGCCCAGAGAATCAGACCCCGTCACTCCTCGGTCCGAAACTTCCTTCCTTGGCTGCTCATTGCTCTAAGGGTCAAGTTAAATATCCTTCAGGTGCCCTTCCATGTCCTCCGCGTTCCTGGCCCACGCTCTGCGCTGGGCTTCCATGTCTGCTCACCCTGCTGCAGCCACCCTGGCTGGCCTTTCCCCCCTCAGCTCCTTAGCACACTGTGTCTATTCGGTGCCACCCCTCCCTCCCCGCCCTCCCCAACCCCTGACTTCCACTTCCCAGTCCCATTCACTCTGAGTCTCTGCTTAGATGTCATTTTTTTAAAAATGTTTTTTTATTGATTTGTTTTTAGAGAGAGAGGAAGGGAGATGGAGAAAGAGATAGAAACATCGAGATCGGCTGCACAACCCCAACTGGGGACCAAGCCCGCAACCGGGCTTGGTACCCTGGAATCAAACCAGGACCTCTCAGTCCAGGGGACGTCGCTCAATCAACTGAGCCACACCAGCTGGGCTAGATGTTACTCTCTTTTTTTTGGTGGTATGTGCCCCTAACGGGAACCGAACCAGGACCTCTCAGTCCAGGGGACGTCGCTCAATCGACTGAGCCACACCAGCTGGGCTAGATGTCACTTTACTTTTTTTTTTTTGGTGGTACGTGCCCCTAACGGGAACCGAACCCGGGACTCTCTGGTCCGCAGGCCGACGATCAACCGCTGAGCCGAACTGGCCAGGGCTACATGTCACTTTTTAAATGAGGCCTTTCCCAGCTGATTCCTCCCCAGAAGTCTCCTCGACCGCTATCGAATTAGATCTCCGGGAATGTGCTTCATTAGCACTATTCAGGTCACAACTGCAGAGAGCGCTGTGCCTGGCAGGCGTACTGCTGGATCTTAACTTTGGATGAATGAGTGAATGAACGGACGAACGAAAGAATGAATGAATGAACGAACGACTGACTTTGAATTGGATCTTAATTATCGTCATCATCCTAACGTCACATGTTTAGAGTCCCTCAGGGGCAGGTCCACCCCTTTCTGGTGCGCCCACCGCACGCTCTGGCACTTTGGGGAGGAGCCGGACACGGCGCCGCTCGGGGCAGGTCTCAAGGCTAGGTGTCCCCGGTGTTCCCAGGTTCACGTGCACGGGGGGAAGAGCAGAGGAAAGGGGGAGTGTGAAAGCTGGTAGCTACGGGTACGCCTCCAGCCTCGCAGACTGCCGCCGCCGGGAGCGCTACTTCCTCCTTTGGGGGCCGGCACGCGGGGCTGAGCTGGGCGGGGCGGGAGACGCCCCCGGCAGGCTGGGCCGGGGCCGCCCCAATGGGATTCGGAGCCGGGCCGCCGCTTTGCCCAGTCCCGGCGCCGCGCTCGGCCGCGGAGGAGGCGGCCCGGCCCCGGCAGCGGCGGCGCTGCGCCCGCCGAGGGGAGGCCGAGCCTGCCAAGCTGGCGCCCGGCGGGGCCATGGTGGCTGGTGCCCGCGGCGGGTGCGCGCAGGCGGGAGCTGCCCGGCACGGCCTCCTGGCCCTGCTGCTCGTGGTCTGCGCCCCGCTCCGGCTGCAGGCGGAGAAGTTGGGTGAGTGGACTGCGCCCGGCGGGCGGCGGGCTGGGCCTGGGGGGAACCAGCGCGGGAGGAAGTCGGGTCTACCTCTGCACCCCGCGGAGTCCTGCTGTCTGGCCGACGGCGGCTCGAGTGAAAAATAAGTTACTGCATTCCGATCGCTGCCCCACCGAAGTCCTCTCTGTCCCTCAAACAAGAAAATGAACTTGGCGCTTCCCCACTTTCCCTCTTCCGAGCCCCACTAACTTAGTTCCCAGACTTCCCGACTCCACCTGCCCGGTGAGAAGTGACGTGGCCCAGGGGTCGCCACACCGCCTTAGGGAAGAGTCCTGAGCGAGGACGCTTCTCAGCGTCCTTTGGACCAAGCTATTCAGCAGTTGGGTGGCCGGGTCCTCCCTGTCTCCTCTATCCCTTGCGCTGCAGGAACCCAGTGTGTCCGTGTGCTGCTTGAACCGAATAGTGGGGAAATGTTTGCCCCAGCTTAGCCGGACTGCGCCGCCCTCACCAGTGTGCTGCCTGCGCCCGAGTTGGATTCAGGTGACTGGACTCCTTCTTCAGAGGAAGAGAGAGTCAACTCCCCACCAGGCTGTTCTTTCTCTGGACCTGGTCCTTGGCTTCAAGTTGGACCTAATTAACCCACAACCTAGTTCACCTCTGCATTTCCACCAGATTAAAAGGCAGTAAACCGTTTACCAGTCCTGGGCAAATCCTTGTTAATTAGTTCTTTATTGATAGCAGGGGGCAGCTTTCTGCAGTTTTTTCAGTTCTTGGTTCCCTCCTCCTCCACTACTGCCCTATGCAGCGGCAGTGAATCTGTCCAGAATATTTTGACAGCTCCCCCACCCCGTGTTTTCTAATGAGATGAGAATTAAAAATTAATCCAATGCTGGTATTTTTTTTCTCTCACTGAACCATGTATCCATTCCCAGTCTGAAACATGGATACTCAAGATGTTAGAGGTTACTAAATTTGCTTACATAACACTTTTTTTTTTTTTTTAAGGTTCAAGTTTAGATGAGATCTGTCTTGTCACTGTAGCAAAATGCTAGGCATACCATAACATTTTAATAAATATGTGGGGGTTTGATCATGGGTATTTTAAACATTAAAAAAAATGTTTCTCAAGTTCCTATTTGAAGATGCACGTTTAATACCCCACATCTGTGAATCAGTCCAACAATGTGCCCCTGTACGAATCTGGCCCAAACTGTCACCCATCTTTCCAAATGAAGTTTCAGATGTTATATGGTCAACCAGGCTGTTAACTGAGTACTTTGTAGAGCAGTTCTTAGGCGACAAGTGTGATTGGTCAAATTCCTACCAGCTTCAAATTTGAAACTACTGTAGTTGACTGGTGGAAGAAGATATTGTCATTTGAGTTTCCATGAAACATCTTATATATTTAGGATGTTGAGAGAACCAATAGGTGTTCAATAACAAAGAAAGTAAAACTTAGATTTGGGGAATTTACTGAAAAAAAATATATATATAGGAACTCCAGTTCTGATACCTCTTGAGTGAAGAGGCATAGTCAATGATATTTTGCATATTTCTTACATTTGTGATTCTCCTAATTAGCTCTTAGTTACTTATTGTTCAAGTTTCCATAAATTGAAGCATACATACCCATTTTACATCTTAGGATATGCTGCTGGCTAAGCAGTTGGTTGGTGTCATAAGTGACATTAGTGCTCTCAATGTTTAGAAGATCAAAGGGCAGGCTTTAGCGTAATAGTTTGTTCTTGGCAAGAAGACACCGTTTATTATATTTTACCTTCATTGTTCTCAGAGTCAGCTTAGTCTGGTGCTTCTTGCCTCCTCAACCTGCCAGATCACCACTCTCTCCTGAGGCTTCCTAAAGCCCCAGCACTGCCCTGTGAATCAGAATTTCCAATGGGTGCGGCCTGGGAATATGTGCATTTAATAAGTCCCCCCGGGTACTTCTGATTCAAATCAGCTTTGAGATGGTAGAAACACTTTGTAATGTTAAGATTATGATGAAGTGCTACTGTGTCATAGACAATTTAATATTAGGATATTAGAAGGTCTGTTCTTAGGTCATCACTCCTTTACATTTGGCTAGACATGGGACAGCCCATAGCTGCTGTTTTTGGTGAGTGACTTCTTAAGATGTAAGCAGAGGTTTATTTTGGCACCTTCCATATCATTGTGTACACTTGCCCAGACTTTCCGACATCTCCAAGGTCTGAGATTCTGTCAGCCTTGTGGTCTGTAAGTTCCTGAGGGGAGCAACTAGAATTGTCTTTATCTTCCTAGCACCAGACAAAGGTGCTCAGTAAATGTTTCCTGGGTTGAAATGAACAATCTTTTTGTATTTAGGGGATATTTTCAAATAACTTTCTAATTAGTGAAAACTAAGTAATGAAAAGTCTACTGACGTTCTTTATGAAAGTATGTCTGATGCTTCCACTAATTAATTTTGCTTACCAAGCTCAGCTCTCTTGGCATGCCTATTTCTACATGTAAGGATGCCTTTTAAATGAAAGTACAGCAGAAAGAAGGGAACATGCCAGAGAACAATATGTACCCTATCTTTTGGCTCTAGTAGATGTAATTTGTAACACGCAAACATTAAATTTATACCACGTATTTTAGTAAAGAAAGGCTTGATGTTAAAGGATTCATTAAACAAATCAAAGGATGTTAAAGCCAGATTTGAATTCTGAATAGTGTCCCAAGCTGTATTCACTTTATTGTGTAAAGTGAACCCTGTAACCTTGTGGTACTAACACAGACTTGAAAATCACATAACAAAATGATAACATGGAAACAAACAACACATCTGATGTTTATAGGAATGATGTTTTTATTTGTAAGATGCATGAGGAAGTTAAATTAATTGCAGCCTTTAGTAAAGGTTTTGGTCCTGTTAAGGCAGAAAAATAACTTTTTTAAGAAAATATTTTCTATAGGGTTTTGGACCCACTGCTATGTGAAATCAAATAGCATGAAGTCAAATCTATTCATATTAAAGTAAACAATTGTTTTGCATTTTAAGGAGATAATACACATAACCCATCTAGAATTGCATTTAGCACATAGTAAAAGCTCAATAAATGCCAAATATTTTGCTTTTCACTACTGTTGATTATTATTACTATTAATTTGACAAATATGTGGGCCTCTTCGTTTGGCCTCCCCCACTGCGTCTTGGACCTCATTCTTCAGCACGCTCTCCCATACTCCCAGGCACACCAGCTTTCTTGCTATTTCTCAAAAGTATCAGGCACCCTTTGACCTCAGAGCCTTTGCATGTGCTGCTCACTCTGCCTGGAACTGTCTTGCCCCAAATATCCAGACAGCTCTCTCCTCCTTCAGTCTTTGTTCAGATCTTGCCTTCTTGGGGAGGATATTCCCACCCACTTGTAACCCACTCGCCATCCCCAGAACTCCATATTCCCTTTCCTGCTTTTAGTTTTCAATAGAGCATTTATCATTTCCAACAGAGTATATACTTGATACTTTTATTTAATTTGCTTGTGTTTCCCTTACAAGAATGCAAGGTCCATGAAGAGCTTTGTGGTTTGAACAGTAACCAGCAGGTGATGGGTACTCAATAGGGATGAGTTCAATCGTGGATAGGTAGGTACTCAATGAGGATGGGGTGAGAAGGCACTGAAAACACAGTTGCTGTCCTGTTGTTAAAGATTCAGGGCTGACTCTAGTTGAGAATCAAAACCTGTAATAAAAGTATATGTCTAATCCAACTGTTGTTTGTAAATAAAAGACTGAAAATAAGGATTTAAAAATAGAGGAACTCATTCTGCTGTATTTGAAGTCTGGCATTGAGGATGGAAGGAAAAGTTTTGCCAGACTTTCAGATTGCTTTTTAAAAAAAAAAAAAAAACTAGGAGTAATTTTGCCTTTTTGCAATTGAAGAGTCATGTTGATGTCATCTTCCAGATGTTCATTCTCTGCCTTGTGTATATAACAAAATAGTTGTTTGCTTTGGAGGTGAGGGGGTGGGAGAGACTTCACAATGCAGATGAGATGGCGTTTTCTAACCCGATGTGGATCTGGAACCAACTGCCAATCTTGTTTTTCACTGGGAGTTGAAAAGAAGGGGTTTTATTGGGGGTGGGGGACGGGGAGTAGAATGGGAGAGAGTCTAAAACGTCCATGAAAGCAGAGAGAAAAATTGAGTCTTTTTTTTTCAGTCACCACCAGTACTTGGTACAGTGCCTGGCAGATAACAGGCCCCAGATAACTATTTCCTGAGTTAGCACATGAATGCTGTGGCTGAGGTTTGAGAGAATGAGGTGAAAGGTGATATTCACTACGTTGTTTAAAGGGAAATTGCATACGTGGCTATTGTGATGTCTTAGGAAACCCTGAGCATGGATTCAAGAAAAGAGCTAAATTCAGCTCTGATAAGGGTTGGGACTCTCTGAGTCTCCTTTACAGACCACACCAGGAAGGCTGATCTGAAGCAGGTCCTGGCAGTCTTAAGAATAGAGGAGCAGATGGATACTGATTTGGGCCGGGTGGGCTAGTGATTCCCCTAAGGTCTGCAGATGCTTATACATTGAGGCCTATTTCACCTTGAAAATCATTTGGGGACAGTGTTTAGACATTTGTGACGTTAGCACTATATTAAGCCATGTTGTCATGTATGCCTTGACTACTTACTGCCATTTCTACCTTCCTAATGCTTACAGGTTCTATTAATCTAGTTTTTATGGACTATCTCCTTGGGAGCTACATGCTGTGTGAAAGTATACCCAATGTTTGCAGAAATGTCTTGTGTCTCATACATGGTAATTTTAGGTTAGGCGCATTTTTTATAGGAAAAGCTTCAAATAACATTGAAACAAGGTAAAAGCTAATCAGTGCCATGTTATCCCATCTCTCCCTTTTTATAAAACTATACTGAAGCCTTTAAAAAAAAAAAAACAAAACAGAATATATACATATTTTTAGGATGGAGATTTCTTTCCTGTCTGCTTTCCCAAAGATCGTCCTAATGCTTACAAGGCAGAGCAGTTGTGGAATAA